TTACTTTGACTGAATAAGTAACTATTATTTAGCAGTGAACTACCATTCTATTAACGAAAGTAGTTTTTGAACTTTTTGACAACTTTGGCAGGTCTCTCCAGTGCCCAAATCTTAAATTAAGCCTTTTGGCCTAAAATTAATTTTACGATTTTCCACATAGGCCCCCCTGAAGAGCCTCAAAGGGTTTATCTCTCATCTTGTACAGATATTAAATGATTAGGTTTATTTGGTAAATAATACAGGAAGTTCTGTCAAATAAGGAATGGTGTTTAACTTCCCTTAAGTTATATTTGTGTGTGTTATTAAAATGTGTGAAATTGTATAGGATCCCTAAAATTCTGATATGCCAAGATATGTATCATAATAATGATTATTATGTTAAATGATTGTGTGCCACCAAAATATCTAAATTGCCTTGTCAATTGAAAATTCTCATCGTATCTTTGGCTATGATTTTTCTGGCTTTTTGTCATCCACAGCAATTGTTTTAAATTCTTCTCTGGAAGTACTTGCAATGAGCTATAGTCTAAAATTGCTAATCAAAATAAAGAAAAAAAATTTTTTTGAAACACAGTCTTACTCTGTTCCCCAGGCTGGAGTACAGTGATGCAATCACAGCTCGCTGCAGTTTCCATCTCCTGAGCTCAAGCTTGATCCTCCTACCTCAGCCTCTGGAGTAGCTAAGACTACAGACATGTATGACTACACCCAGATAATTTTTTTGCCTTTTAGTAGAGACAGGTCTTGCTATGTTGTGCAGGCTGGTCTTGAAATCCTGACCTCAAGCTATCCTACCACACAGCCTGCCAAAGTGCTGGGATTACAGGTGTGAGCCACTGCACCTGGCCAACCAAACAAAATTATTTAAATGAAATTAAGTAATTGATAAGGATAATGTTTTTGTTGCTTAAATGTTTTATTTTCCAAATTCAGGAAATTTTCTGACATAAGCTATCTATAGTTTGCAGTATTTTGGTAAAGTATCCTCTGTTGAACAAAGGTGGAAGCATTTGTTTTTTTTTCCCTACTTGATTCCTTAAAATTCAGAAGCTATAAATGAGTATTCTTATTTTTATTTATGTGAGTTAAATAAAAATCTTATCTCTCTTGAAAACAGGAAACAATTGGGAACATTGGTTATATTACCAAGGTATAGACTGAAATGTTATATGTAAGAATGTGCCTAAAATGCCTGTCTTCAGGAGTTCCTAGCTTTACAGTGAGTATGTAAAAACTGTCACTTTCTGGTAGGCCCAAGAACCTTAAGACTATAAGTAAAATCTAACGCCTGACTTGGTCTGGCCATCTAGCTTCAAGAGGTTCTAATATCTGAGATTTCTTATATGATCAATGTGGAGAGGAAAAGTTATGCTTCTAAGTAAAGCAAAAGTTTATCTGTTACTAGATTCTAACATTGTGCATTGCCCTCAAGTCCTTGTTATTTGGCTATGGACTGGACTAGATTCTGAATTCTCGTAAGATCCTCTAATATTTGGTTATAACTAAATCCTGATGGAGTCCCCTAGTCCTCTTCCCCCAGTCCAGACTAGGGATGCTCTGGGGACATTCAGGGTATTTCTCCTTTTAAAATCTAACTAACTAGATGAATTAAAATATCAGAATTGGACACAAACTGGACCCATAGGATACTATAGTCTCCTTGTCTCAAAGAAGTTGATGTTGTCTCTTCTTTTGTAAAAGCCACAGTGAAAATAGCAACGGGGCCCTCCTCACTGTCTGTGTTCCACACTCTAATGGGGCTCTCCTCAATTCATGTCACAAGAAGCCTAGCAAACTATGCAATTCTTTTTCTGTTCTCACCTCCCCTTACCATGACCCAATATAACTTGCTTAATTCTGCCACTTTACTTATCTTTCCTGATGTCAGGTTTGTCCAACAGGCAGAACTGCATGCTCCTACTAGACATGTCTTTTAGCTAAAGGTAAAATGGCCAATTACTTACACAGATGGCAAGCATGCCTTGGGATAGCTCACAACCTTAGTATCTGTGTGAAATATGTCCACAATACCATATTGGAAAACCATTTCACGCCTTCATGGACCACTTCACATTACCAAAAAGTCCCTTTGAGGCATGGCAACAATATTTTTTTCAGCTCCCCATCTCTCAAGGATATTGGTATGTACTAGTTACAGTTCGCATGTTTTAGCATTGCACTGAAGCCTTCTATTGTCAACAGGCCACAGCCATGGCAGTAGTTAAGGACCTGTTGGAAAATTTATACCAACATGAAAAGTCTCTTAAGGGGTTCATAATGCACGAGGAACTCATTTTGCAGAGCAAATTATTTAAAACATTTGTATAATTTGGCCTATTTATCAACATTTCAATTGTGCTTACAACTTCTAGTCCTCTGGACTGGTGAAACAGACCAAGGGAATAATAAAAGCCCAATTGGCAAAGAATTGTGGTGTGCCATTTAGCCTGCAATGGCCCAAGGCCCTTTCTTTAGTCCTCCTTAACCCTGGCATGCTTTCAGTGTTCCTTCGTAGAGTTCTAAATTCATCCAGATGGTCAGGGTAGCCAACACATTTGTGGTAGTCTCTAATCTTTACTGATCCCCTTCCAACTAGGACTCCTCATTGGCAGTCATTTCTGCTTGTCCCATTGGCCCCTGTACACCTCCTGGGAAAGGATTTTGTACAAATCTGCCAGGTCCATATTTCCTTCTCCCAGAAAGGGGGAAATAATATTAGAGTTATCCTCACAAGGAGATCTGGCCTCAGAACTGGCTTTTACCCTAATTCTCATCTCTCAAGTTGGCCTCATTAATGCTACTGACCCTCCTCTCCAAGAGCTACCAATTGTGCCCCAAGAGTCCTGGGGCACAATCCAACACCAATGATAATCCCAGACATTACAGCTGGGGATGTACTCAAGGATGTGATTTACTTGGAGAATAATCCTCTAATGAAGGAGCTAGATTAGGAAGGTTTCTGGGGTCCTGGTTTGGACTAGGTTCTGCTTGAGATGGGTATATGGTCAGAAACCTTTCTGGCACTGTCAAGAGAGTTAAAGTACATCTCCTAGCTTGTGACAAGTGAAAAGGTCCATCCTCATTACCACTTTCCTAAAAAACAAAGGTTTTTATATATGGCTTGAAAGTGAATAGGAATGGTTACATTGCATTTATACTTTATTGAACATCATTAGAAATTGTCCTAACATCTCTACCAACGTGCAGACATTTATATACACACAGACCACACATTCTCAATTTCTATTGCTCACACATCTTCTTTCTCGAGGCTTTTCATAGGAGGCATTTTCCTAAGCTCAGCTGTTGGTCCTCTGTTCTTTCTTCATGCATTCTTTCATCATTCATTTTTGTAACTCCAAAGAACACTTATATTCTGATGATTCATAAATATTACAAGACAGTTTCTCTCTTCTTCTGTTCTCTAAACAACTCTACTGTCTCATAATCAGACTTACCTTTCTCTCTTTCCAAACACTGCTATTACTATGCATGAAACCATGACTATTTAGCTTAAAAATTAATACATTATTTATACTCTGAACCATACAACTCAGCACTTAATTAAGGTCTTTCATTACTTAAACTTAACAAGTCATAATAATCTCACTCATCTGACCAGATTTTTTGCAATTTGACATCAGAGATTAGTTTAATACTTTATCTGTATGCTCAACAAGTTCTTGTAGTACTGGGGCCATAGAATGATTCAATAATTATTTGACAATTAAAAACATAAGTAAATTGTCTGTCCCTAGTAACTTTGGAAATAAAGTGCTACACTATTATTTAATATCAATTTATCCCATCTTTTAAATGTGAGACTAAATAAAGTAAGTTAATACACATAATAATGGAACTCACAACATATATATGTTTATAGTTAGGAAGTATGCTCACTTAACCTTCCAGTAGTCATGTGGAGACCATATTACTATTCTCTTTCTACAAATGATAAATAAAACTCATAAATGTAAAGTGACTTGCCCAAGGTCACCTAGCTAGTAAGTGGCAGAGCTAAATCATAACCTCACATATTTTGTCCTCAAGTCCAGTGCTCTTTCCCTTATATCTGCATATTCCCTCTTAAAAACATAGTAATGTATATACACATACTATGTTGTTGTAACATGATGTGTATTTCCTTTTTTATGTTTTCACTTTTCTCACTTTTTAGATTTATTTATTTATTTATTTATTTATTTATTTATTTATTTGAGATGGAATCTCACTATGTTGCCCAGGCTGGTCTCGAACTCTTGAACTCAAACGATCTGCCTGCCTTGCCCTCTCAAAGTGCTGGGATAACAGGCATGAACCACCGCACCTGGCCACATTATTAAAATATTTCATCATCATTAGATTTCATTATACAGATTGCATAACAACATAACTAGTTGTTGTGTTTACAAAAAGTCTTTATATTCAGGATAATAAAAATATATAAGCATTTCTCCTCCCAAAGGCCCTTCTGACTATTTTCAAAATTTTAAAAAGTCATTATCCACACATCCGCAATCCTAGAGTAATCAGAGGTGCTGCAGTTGCATCTGAAGCAAAGCCAGATGTGAAACAGATGCAGCACCACCACAGTTACAGATTACTGATACCAGGTAAGTGCTTTAACTTTGATTGGCTTTGGGATGGAATTGATGGAGCTGGTCTGAGAGAGGCTATTAAGAGACCTCAGCTTCCCCAAGTGATTTCACCCTGGACCCTTATCAGACCCTCCCAGCTCAGCTTCCACCATCTAATCAAAGTTTAAAGCACTTACCTGATATTAGAACCTGAAATGCCAGGATTGCTGTACTACATCTGTGTTATTTCCAGTTTGTCAAGTAGGTACAATTGCAGAACCTGTTCCAGCACCTGTAGCTCACAGCATTTTACCACAGTAGACATCCACTGCCAAAACTGAAAATATTTAACCTTAATTTTGTTAGAAACTTGTCATTTCAAAAATGATTTTCAACATTAATAGTTTCATTTTAGTTACTTACCATTTGGATAGGGCGTTTCACATAAAGTTAGAAATTCAACAATAGGATGATCCATTTCAAGTACTGTAATTGCTTTTCCATGCATGATGGTTAAACTTGGTCTTCTACAAGCTTTGTCATAGGACAGCCCACCAGAGAATATTATGAATGGTTCGCTACATAGGAAAAAAACATTAATGAGACTCAGAAGTCATTTAAAATAACACAAAGTCACAGGACTGAACCTATAAAGAACAGGTTTTGTTGTATACCATATAATATGACAGCAAAAAACTTGTCTGGCTCAAAATTTCTCATTCAATAACCTACTATTCTACCATTTCCCATTTTCTAGATGTACATTCTCACTATTAAATTTACTAATGGATCAGTCTAAAGATGTTGGGGTAGGTTTGGGGAAAGGCAGTGAGCTTGGAGAGAGGTAGATGTGCTCACTGACTCTCAAAAGGACATCTTCACATACATTAGTTGGTTCTCAAACTCTAAATCACTATCATTGGAATATTAGTCTATGTTAGAATATCAGATTAACTAGCTGGCCTGTGGGGCCTAAAATTTCTACAAGAGAAAAGAGACAAATTTTAATATAAAATGAAATGTGACAGTGGAAAGCTCAGAATGGCAGAGGGTAAAATAAGAATTCTAGATAATGGAGTTTCTGTGAAAAAAGAGTAAAGATAAAAAGATGGAGAAAGATAATATGTAAGAGAAGAATAGCTAATCAAAGATAAATTGCCTTTTCTATTTTACTTGTGGCCAGTCTATATATCTATATATCCTCTATATATCTTGCTCAACTAACTTACACAAGGTTTTGGGTCTGTTGCTTTATAAGACACAATTAGATAGCAGAGTGGGGTTAAGATGCCTCCAAAACATTATAGCTATCTGAAAATTATGAAATCTTTTCACAGTTTTTCATTTTTTATTTCTCAAATCAATACTTACATATCTCTAGTGTAGGTGTACAAAAGAAAAAGTGTGTTAGCAGGAAGTATTTTCAAGAAGTCAGAAGTAAATACCAAATTGAAAATATTCTTTTCTAATTTTTTTAAAGAACTAGAGGCCTTTATTGTATCGAATTATTTGAGAACATAATGCTCATCTACATAATTCACTTACATCCCATTTGCTAAGCTGAAGGATCTACTTGTTTCTAGAAATCGCTCTATAAGATTTCTTTTTCTCTTCTATTTTGTACTGTTTGAGGCACCAAACATTATCAGTGGGACATTTACTAATCTTATGCTGGCTATATAACCAAAAAGGGGGGCTTTTTAAGAAAGTTTCTAAACAAACCTACATATAAAATGCATGTACTATTTTCTGTTTATAATTCTATCTTAATATTCTGACATAAATATTTGAGTTATAAGCAAAATAAACAAAAATACTCTAACTTATTTTACTTCAGTTGATTTGAGTACTAGTCTTGCACCAGTGATTTGATATGGTAAATCACCAAACTACTAATGGTGCCATTAAAAAGCACATTTGTTATTTCTATAAAATGTATATTTATATTATTAATAAGATTTATCCAGATTTAAAAAGCATTTCTAATACAGTTATTTATGAAATAGTGGGGGGGGGGGTTTACCTTTGTTTGTTGCTTTGTTTTGCAAATAAAAAGGCCATGACTTAAGAGAATGTAGTATCTTTTCATAAATATTAAGCTTAATTATCTACTATTAATGTTAATAAAGGCCATAAGTATCTATTTTTTTCCTGTGTATAAGTAGGTGAATTTACTCTCATTCCCTAATACTAATCCAAACATAGGATAAGTAGCAATTTACTTCCCCTGCTTTTTTGTATATACATTGGAAATATGTCCTCTCCAATATTGAAAGGAAGTAAAATTTCTTCTGCTCTAATTATGACTCTGCATCAGAATACTCTGGGTCTGAATTTAGTTGTTAATATTTATGCATTTCTCTATAAACTACTGAGTGATTACATAAAAAGTTACTTCCTCAAGAAAGTGCTCAGGGAACCACTCATGGTTAACTGTACTAAATATTTAATTATCATATTAAATCCTCATAAGCAATGTCCTCACTTTATTAATGAGGTTAAATAACAGCTAAGAAGAAACAACCAAAAGAAAATTGAAATCTACCAGACTTCAAAGCCTGTGATTCTAAACACTCCTATATATTGCCTCTAGTAATAAATAGCTACCATTTACTGAGTGCTTACCATGTGGCATATATTGTGCTATGTGTACATATAAAGTAAATTTTGTGTAGTCCTCACAACAACCTTGACAAAGAAAGTACTATTAGTCCCATTTTATACATGAAGAATCTGGGATTAATGCAGATTAAACTTGTCCAGGATCAAGCAGCTAGTGAGTACCAGGACAAAGATTCAAACCCAGACTCAAAAGCCCACATTTTTCATTTTTCATTTAATGTTTCTCAAACTGTGGAATACAACGTGGTAGTTGTTCAGCAGAAAAAAATTAAATTTGATAATTTGATAAGCACTTGCAAAACCATATCTTCTTTTAGGAATTTTGCATTTCATAGCATATGTTAAAAATTATGAGAAATCATATGGCAAGCAATCCAATTTACTTTTATAGAATTCAGAATTTCTCACATTTATTAGATTTCAGGTCCCTTTTATTCCATGAATATCATTAGTAATTAAAGGAACACAGTTGTTTGATAATGTTGTACCACACTACATGTTGTAGCACACTAAACTGTGTCAGGTGTCATTTAATACAAAGATTCTATTAAGGGATACCTATCAGATGGACTCTTATAAAAGAAATATATGACCATATACTTGAAATGTCCTCATACTTAAGAAAGCATTAATAAAAAATAACAAATTATGGATACATAATGTGTATGAATCTCAAAGGCATTCTGCTGAGTGAAAGAAGCTAGGCTTAAAAAGTTACGTAATATATAACCGCATATATATAATGGTCTCCAAAATGCAAAACTATAGTGATGCAGAACAGATCAGTGGTTGCCAACGGTTAGGAGTTGGGGAGAGGAGTGACTATAAAGGAACAGAATGGGAGAGTTGTGGGAAATGATGGAAATATTCTTTATTCTTATTGTGGTGATAGTTTTAGAAATCTATACATGTGTTTAGAAACATGAAACTGTATGCCAAAAGAAAAATAGTTAATTCTACTGTAAGTATAATCTGTAAAATACATAAAGAAAACAGCATTAAAAGTTTGCTCCAATGAAGGCAACAAGATTAAACAAGTTATGTAACATAATATAATAAATATTAAATGCTAACATATATTGAGTATTTATTATATTCTAGGCATCGTATGCAGAATTTCACATGCATTATTTTATTTAATCCTTATCACATCCAAATGAGATAACTACTATTATTATCTCCATTTAACAGATGGGTATATTGAGGCTTGGAGAACTTAATTATACATAAAGTTCCTGCCATAATAGGAACAGATTAAAAGACTAGCAGAAAATAATTTTTTTTAAAATTATACTTTAAGTTCTAGGGTACATGTGCACAACGTACAGGTTTGTTACATATGTATACATGTGCCATGTTGGTGTGCTGCATCCATTAACTCGTCATTTACATTAGGTATATCTCCTAATGCTATCCCCCTCCCTCCTCCCTCGTCCCCACAATAGGCCCCGGTGTGTGATGTTTCCCTTCCTGTGTCCAAGTGATCTCATTGTTCAATTCCCATCAGCCAAAATTGACAAATGGGATCTAATTAAACTAAAGAGCTTCCGCACGGCAAAAGAAACTACCATCAGAGTGAACAGGCAACCTACAGAATGGGAGAAAATTTTTGCAATCTACTCATCAGACAAAGGGCTAATATCCAGAACCTATAAAGAACTCAATCAAATTTACAAGAAAAAAACAAACAACCCCATCAAAAAGTTGGCAAAGGATATGGAAAGACACTTCTCAAAAGAAGACATTCATACAGCCAACAGACACATGAAAAAATGCTCATCATCACTCACCATCAGAGAAAATAATTTTCTTTAGCTTAAGAGAACCTAATAATTGTAATGGTAGTCAGTATATACATCAATATTCCTGATGATGGCCAAATAGGAACAGCTCCAGTCTCCAGCTCCCAGCGCGAGCAACACAGAAGACCGGTGATTTCTGCATTTTCAACTGAGGTACTGGGTTCATCTCACTAGGGAGTAGCAAGCAATCGGTGCTGGTCAGCTGCTGCAGCCCGACCAGTGAGAGCTGAAGCAGGGCGATTCATTGCCTCACCTGGGAAGCACAAGGGGGAAGGGAATCCCTTTTCCTAGCCAGGGGAACTGAGACACACAACACCTGGAAAATCGGGTAACTCCCACCCCAATACTGCACTTTAAGCAAACGGGCACACCAGGAGATTATGTCCCACACCTGGTCGGGAGGGTCCCACGCCCATGGAGCCTTCCTCATTGCTAGCACAGCAGTCTGCGATCTACCGGCAAGGCAGCAGCGAGGTTGGGGGAGGGGCGCCCACCATTGCTGAGGCTTAAGTAGGCAAACAAAGCCCTGGGAAGATCTAACTGGGTGGAGCTCACAGCAGCTCAAGGACGCCTGCTAGTCTCTGTAGACTCTACCACTGGGGACAGGCCACAGCTAAACAACAACAACAACAACAACAAAAAGCAGCAGAAACCTCTGCAGACACAAATGACTCTGTCTGACAGCTTTGAAGAGAGCAGTGGATCTCCCAACACGGAGGTTGAGATCTGAAAACGGACAGACTGCCTGCTCAAGTGGGTCCCTGACCCCTGAGTAGCCTAACTGGGAGACATCCTCCACTAGG